CCCCCTTCCCCCAATTTCCTAGAACACATGGAACACCTCCATGTGTTAGATGCTGTGAAAAAGAATAATGGAATAGTAGTTTCTGAACTCTGATCTGTTTAGTTCCAGATTCAGTTCTTAAAAACCAAGGCTTACTGCCTCCCTTAAGCACATTAGGGTCACACAAGGGACAAGGGAACAAAAGGCATCACTAGGACTTACCCAGGGCAATAAAAAAATCTGTAACCCATGTATACCACACTTCTCTACTTCTTAATTATAGCCTTTTTCCTGGCAACAGTTCCTGTTAATTTTTTTTTTTGAGACAGGGTCTCACTTTGTCACCCAGGCTAGAGTGCAGTAGTGTCATCAAGGCTTACTGCAACTCCAACTCCTGGGCTCAGGCAATCTCCTGCCTCAGCCTCTTGAGTAGCTAGGACTACGAGCATGTGCCACCACATCCAGTTAATTTTTATTTGTAAGAAAGGATCTCATTATGTTGTTTGGGCTGGTCTTGAATTCCTCGCCTCAAGCATCCTCCGCCTTGGCGCTCCAAAGTGCTAGGACTATACCACCATCCCAACAATGAATAAATCTTTGATGATGACAGAAGGCAGTCATAAGGCTAGAAAAAGCTAATCTCAGTTGCCTTGCTGGTTGAAGAGGAAATTCAGTTTATGTCAGATGTGCAAAAAGGTCAGGGAAAATGATACTCGTGTATTAGTAGCACAGCAAATCCCTAAAACTACCATGAATTTAAAATAAATGATTCAGAATATCAAGATGATTTGAACTTACTTCTCTAGTTGAGGATTTGTGTAAAGAATATACTGCTGTTCTTGCCATTTCCAAAGCAGTCTTAGAAAAGCCATATCTGTTCCTGTGATGAGTAGAAAAACCTCCTATTTATATTATGTAACTCTTATAAATAGAAGATTAAATGAATAGGATTTGAAAGATTTCTTCCATCAAACTAGCAGCTGAAAAAAAAAGAACATTTTCTTCCAAACTCCACAAAAGCCACTTTAAGTTCTTTCTGTAGTAAGACAGAGTAACAATAAATAAAACATCAGAATATTCGGTTAAGGTTGATAGATAAACCGAATTATACGTGTTCTTATTATAGGCTAAGCAGAATTTTGGATATATATTCCAACTTAATGACTTTCAAAGAGAAGGGAACACAATAGGTAATATCAGAGTCATCCTGGCAGGAGGCAGGTACTTTTAAAACTATATATGTCTTTTGTCCTTTATTGACTTTCTACTCACCTGGCCACCAGTACCACACAAATTAATAGCCACAGTGAGTTACTGTGACTTATGGGCACATTTGAAATGCTTGGAGTCTGTTAAGGCATTAAAAGCAGGTTCTTTCTGACTGCCAGAAGTTTGAGATAAAAAAACAACAACAACCAGTTGTAAAGGTATATAATCTTTTATAACTTTCACAATTATTCATAAGGATTAGGCAATTCCTTCTTTTTTTTTTTTCTTTTTGGAAACTAACCTAGATCAAGGAAAATTATTCTTGAAAGCAACTGGGGGTATAAGTAATAAAATAATAAATAAGGACTATCTTAATTACTTAATACAAATTTGTAAAAACAAAGGTTGAAAAATTCAATCCCTGAACCATACATTTAACAAATTGAAATCTAAATTGTAATAAGTTATAGGTAATAGATTGGTTTATTTAATGAATAGTGATAAAATAACTTAATCCAAACTAGTCAATGATAAAATATTTTTAAAGTGCTTTTACAAATACACTCTATACTGGATTTGTACCAACCTTTATTATGTTTGGTCCCAAAGGAGGATCATAATTACTGTATCAAATGACTTGGACATTCTGTTAGATAATGAGCACACATCACATTGAACCATGTCAACATTTGTTAACTCAAATTCTTCCACATTCCTATTAAATATTTCAATGCATCTTCATCTATGTCAAATCCAACACACAACCTATAAATACAAAACACACACAAAGAGTTACCTTTAGCTCCCAAGTCAAAACAAACCAAAACTATTTTAACCATTTGCATTTTTAAGCGTTGGCAACTAAGGTGAGTTGTCACTTTTCAATGGCATGATTTCTCAACCTAGTAGAGGTCAGAAACTAGGGTTGTATATAGGGGACTGCTGCTGTTACCATTGTTATTTATATTTTTATATAGTTTTTTTTTATCTTCTGCCCATTCAAGATGTACTCAGTATCGATTCTTGCTTCCTCCCGTAGAGTCCCATAAAATAAATTCAGTTTCCTATTTACGCTTCCTTATTAAAGCCACCCATATCCAACATAGTATATACTGGATTACCTACCCAGCTCCTAACATTGCAGTTTCCGATGCTAAGCACTCCACAACCACATCCTAGATCTGCAACATTTTTATTTCAATGTCATCATATGTTTATGGATTGTATAGAGCATACATGCTAAAAAAAAATTAAAAACTTCATAGGGAATAAGTAAGCAAGCTGATGATAAGTCCAATTTGTACAAATGACTTTTTTTGAGACAGTCTTTTTCTTTTAACATTATATATATATATGTTTTTTTTTTAAATGGCAGGTGAGTTGTTACAGACTCCTTAGCAGATTTCCGATGATACAGAGTCTTGCTCTGTCACCAAGGGTGGATAGAGTGCAGTGGCATCATCTTGACGCACTGGAACCTCAAACTCCTGGGCTCAAGAAATCCTCCTGCCTCAGCCTCCAGAGTAGCTGGGACTACAGCCTCGAATGAGGATGCCTCTAGCTAATTTTTCTATTTTTTAGTAGACACTCTTGCTCAGACAGGTCTCTAACTCCTGAGCTCAAGCTCAGACAGGTTCACTCTTGCTCAGACAGGTCTCTAACTCCTGACTCAAGCAATCCTCCTACCTTGGCCTCCAGAGTGCTGGGATTACAAGCATGAGCCAATGAACCCAGACAAATGACTCTTTCTAAAAATTTATTTTGCATTATTTAGTCCTCTCCAAATGGTGTTCAGATTATTAAAAAAAAAAAAAAAAAGATAAGCTGCAATAAATGGTAAACAGTAAGAGGCCACCATAAGGAAGGCTAACACATGCCAGTGGTTCTCAAAAACTAGTTCTCTTGGCTGGCGCGATGGCTCACGCCTGTAAACCTAGCCACTCTGGGAGGCCGAGGTGGGCAGATTACTCGAGGTCAGGAGTTTAGAAACCAGCCTGAGCAAGAGCGAGACCGTCTCTACTATAAATAGAAAGGAAATTAATTGGCCAACTAACATATATATAGAAAAATTAGCCAGGCATGGTGGTGCATGCCTGTAGTCAGCTACTTGGGAGGCAAGGCAGCAGGATTGCTTGAGGCCAGGAGTTTGAGGTTGCTGTGAGCTAGGCTGATGCCATGGCCACTCACCTCTAGCCTGGGCCAAACCAAGTGGAAAATCCTGTCTCAAAAAAAAAAAAAACTAGTCTCTGCCAACAATGCCAAGAATGACAAAACTGTGATCAATCTCTGAGGTCACAGATGAGGCACCTAAAGTCAAAGTGCTTTATTTTTCCTCATCCTGTTCAAAACATTGCCATATACACATACATATGCCAGTGCTTTCCTGGATGCTAAAATGTTATTTTTAGAAAACAATAAGAATAAACAGGTTTTAAAAATATACTTCCTTGTCAAAATATAAATTTGGCATCCTTCTATCAGTCTACAAAATTGTTTTGAAATCTGTGAAATCTACAAGTCATCAAACAAGCATTAGTATCACAAGGACATGGAACTTTTTTGCAACTAGTTTGTTACCAGAATACAGGCATCGTAAGCTCCTACAGCCACAATATAGTCTTTACTTTAAACACATATATTCATAATACAAAATGAGAGCTGATGATGGAACTACTGACGAGCAGGGCAGAAGCTGCTGAGATTTCTAAGAGATCTTTCAAATACACAAGGGTCTTGGATATACTGAAGGTTAATCATGAATAACACCACTGATATCTCCCTGTGGATATCTGAGTCCAGCACTGCTGGCCAGTGCTGATACTTGAGGATCCAGAGGTATTAAAAACATAATTACAGGGACATCTTTGTGCTATCCTGATCATTGCTGCAGGTGGTTTTAAAGCTGGTATCTCAAAAGAATGAGCACATCCAAGTGCATGTTACATGCTGAGTGTGAAACAGCTGATGTTTTTTACTTTTTAAAATTGGATTCCACTAAAAAAATTCTACAGCCAGAAGACTGTAACAAGTCATTATGTAAGTTGAGTAGACTGGTCTTAACCTAGACACAGTAATCTTGTGTCAATTTTTGGTTGGAATTAATGACATCTTTGAGTTAAACGCAAGTATGCATGTATTTTTCACTTTCACTGGAAATTTACAAATTATTTTGGAAATAGAAAAAATTCCTCCTTGCAGGTACTCCCAGCAAGCCAATTTTCCTAAGGCTTCTCAAAGACTTTGGTAACATATTTATTAAATATGAATGGATTTTCCTGTATCCTCTCCTGTACTCTGGCATGAAGCAACAATGCTAATTCTCAGATAATTTATTAAAATTGAAATGCATGCATCCTCATCTTTATATAGCACATACTCTGGTTTTCATTTCTAGGGCAAAGTATATATAGCACAGAAATCCTTGCCCAAGCAATTAGTTGCAGTAGGAAATTGATCCTTATTTAGCAAATATTTACTGAGCTCCTAAATAGTACCAGCAACTCTTCTAGGCACTGGGAATTTAGACGTAAGAATAACAAATTCCTTGCCCTCAAGTTTATAATGAGAGAAACAAACATATTAAAAAGATGTCTGACAGTGTTAAAGGGTATGTGGAAAATCAAACAGCAAAACGATAAAGTCTGTGTCTCTGAGGCGGATGATTTTAGCTGCGGTGTCAAGGAAGGCTTCTCTAACGTAACACAGATCTTAGGGCAGAAATTCTTTTTATCCAAATAACTGTTACATTTTCATCATGGAGTGAGTTGACAGGACTACCCCAAAGCAAGGGCGTGGTGAACCATCCGCCCTACCTGCAATGTGCGGCCTGGTGGGATACTGTTCTAGAAGTAGCTTGGGCTTTTCGAATCCATCCACTTGTTGCAGGCGACTTTCTAGTTCCTTAAGTCTTAATTTCTTCATTTTTGTTTTGTTTTGTTTTGAGTGTGAGCTCGCAGGTTTAACTGCATAGGATCTGCGGAGAAATCTATTGAACCTGGATCTTGTTTCCTCTCCGGCCCCTTTTCCAGCGCCGCTGGCCGGGAGCCGGGCAGGAGACGCGCTCCACAGAGGAAAGGGACGCAGAGCGCGCAGGGCCAGACTTGGACCCGCTTGTGGGTATCACAAGCTGCCCTCGGGCACCTGGGAGACCGCGGCGGACAGCGCCTGGAGCTGCAGCAGGATCTCCGACGCCACATCCACTCACCTCGAGAAGCAGCCAGCACCTAGACAGGGGCCGGAAGCGCCACCACGCACGCGCGCACACCAGCGGCTCGGCGCCGAGCTGCAACTTCTGTTGGGCGCCAGAGTTCCGCTGGCAACCCGGAGCCTCAGTGCTCCATCCACACCACAGGCAAAGCCCGCTCTACTCGCAGACCCTGGGCCCGCCCTTGCTGCCTGTCGCGCCCATTATCCTTTAGTTTGCCCTGAGTACCTAACAGCCCTCAAAGGATGGGGAAAGAAAGAGGGTGAAAGTGATGCAGGAGAGAGGGTGTAAGTCAGTGTAACCGGTTCTATAAGCAAGAAAATGTTTTTCACTAATGTTTTTAGTTTTCCCATATTTCAAATGAGTTGTCAGTGTTCACATTTATGGCTGGGGCTGGCAGCTCCAAGTGGCCTTGACAGCAAGATTTATCTCGGCCTTGGTAACTTAGTGGTTACAGTCTCAATTAGCCAGAAAATAGAGAACTCTTTAGCAAGATTTGCTGACCAGAACTTTGTAACTTTCTGTTGTACTGACGCATTCTCTCTTGAGTTTCTTACCCAGGAATGGCAGAACCTCCTACAAAGCTTCACACCACCTGCTTATCCCGAGAAGACAAGATAAAGAATACTCCACCACAGTCGGTGCCGGAAAACCCACTGAGCCTGCTCACAGGCTGAAAGTATGACAAATATTAACCCCTTGCTCATTATAATACTAAAATCTCTGGGAGGGACTTAGTTGCCATTTTTTGATCATGGGACGTAAGTACTAACATGATTTCTCACTATGCTTGCTGCCCTGCACTCCACCCCAAACACACAGTGATGCTCATACCCCTCATGCATTATTATTCATGTCGCCAGCAGAAAAAAACCCTGACCCTGTTGGTCAGGGAGGCGAACTTTAAGCAGTTTATATCTCCTCCTCCCTTTTGAGGGTCCACGGAAATAAATCCTTTCCTCCTGACAATCCTCGCTCAGTAATTGGCTTTTTGTAGGGGGTCAACATTGAACTCCCATTGTGGGTTGGGTAACATCAGTCACTTTGTTTTATGGTCCACATTGACTCTTCTGCTTCTTGCCTCCCAAGTCTCCATTCAGAAACTACCCATCTTCACTCGTCTTTACTTCTTTGGCCATTCCCGTGCCCTACTTTATCATAACATTGTTTCCTTCTTTTTAGGTCAACTGTGTCGCTTACCTGAACTCTCACAGGGGAGGTGATGTCAGAGAAACGCAAAGAAGAGAGTTTAAATGAGAGAATAGGCAGTTGTGTCAAAGGCTGGAAAGAGGTCAATTTTCCTAGAGTAGGAGCAGAAATCAAGTTGTAATGGAGTGAATGGAAGTTTAGGAAAAAGAAAGAGTAAATGTGAATAATTCTTAAGAAACGTGGCTACGGGATGGGCGCGGTGGCTCACACCTGTAATCCTAGCACTGTGGGAGGCTGAGACTGAAGGATCGCTTAAAGTCAGGAGTTCGAAACCAGCCTGAGCAAGAGCGAGACCCTGTCTCTACTAAAAATAGAAATAAATTAATTGAACAACTAAAAATATATAGAAAAATTAGCCAGGCATGGTGGCGCATGCCTGTAGTCCCAGCTACTGGGGAGGCTGAGGCAGAAGGATTGCTTGAGCCAGGAGTTTGAGATTGCTGTGAGCTAGGCTGACACCGGGGCACTCTAGCCTGGGCAACAGAGTGAGCCTCTGTCTCAAAACAACAACAAAAAGAAACGTGGCTACGAAGAAAGCAAGAATGATTTGATGCTTTAGTAAGGTTGGGGGAAACTTTATTTACTTATTTGTTTGTTTGTTTATTTTAAGATAAGAAGAGATAAGAAAATATCTAAATTCTGACAGGATGTAGCTAATACACAGGGAGAGGTTTAAAATACAAGAAAGAGAATATTGGATGAAGTTAGGATCCTGAGAAGGCAGGGTCCAGTGCTTAAGTAAAAGGATTGCCCTTAACCTGTGGGAGGGACACCTCTTTTCATTAGGAATAAAAAAAGGAGTGAATGGATGCTGACAGAGCAGAGAAGTCGTGTCTGAGGCTGCTACTGCCTATGAAAAGTTGTATTCAAAGTTATCTGTTATGAGAATTAAATGAATTAATCATATGAAGTTATTTGTACGTAAAGTACTTTGTCAAACAAATGCCCCATAAATGTAACTTGGAAGTCACAGTGTTGTTATCCGTTGATAGGAAGGTGGTGGAGTAAAGGATTTGAGCCAAATGGATACTTGAAATTAGCCAGGTAGACAAAGGACAATTGGTCCATCTGAGGTTGAAGGCAATGTTTTCTATTTTTAAAAGTAAGTTAATTTTTAATTTGGATATTATTGTAGATTTATATGTAAACATAAAAAATAACAGAGACCCTATGTATCTTATTTAAATGAAATCATAGGTACTGGTGGCCCGACCCGGTGGCTCATGCCTGTAATCCTAGCTCTCTGGGAAGCTGAGGTGGAAGGATCCCTTGAGGTCAGGAGTTTTAGAACAGCCTGAGCAAGAGTGAGACCCTGTCTCTACTAAAAAAAAAAAAAAAAAAAAAAAAAATTAGAAACAATTATTAGCTGGGCATGTGTGAGCCCAGGAATTTGAGGTTGCTGTGAACAGCTAGGCTGATGCCATGAAACTGTAGCCTGGGCTACAGAACAAGACTCTGTTTCAACAAAAAAAGAAAAAGAAAAAAAGAAAGCATAGGTAGTGGTGTCAAAGGCTGGAAAGAGGTCAGGTTTCATAGAATAGGAGCAGAAATCAAGTTGTAGTGGCAATTTATATAAATTTTCTTTAATTCTTTCAACCATGTTTTATAGTTTTCTGTGTATAAGTCTTACATTTCTTTTGTTAAATTTATTTCTAAGCATTTTATTCTCTTTAGTGTTATTGTAAATGGAATTGTTTTCTAAATTTTATTTTCAGATTGTTCATTGCTAGTGTCTATAAATACAGTTGATATTTGTTATTGATCTTGTACCCTGAAACTTTTTAGCTCTAATATTTTTGTGTGCATATGGTTTTTTAAAAGTATTTTCTATGTATAAGGTCTTGTCTTCTGCAAAGAGAGACAGTTTCACTTGTTTCTTTTCAATATAGCAGTTGATATTTGTTATTGATCTTGTACCCTGAAACTTTTTAGCTCTAATAGTTTTGTGTGCATATGGTTTTTAAAAAGTATTTTCTATGTATAAGGTCTTGTCTTCTGCAAAGAGAGACAGTTTTACTTGTTTCTTTTCAATATAGCATTTTTGTTTATTTGTTTGTTTTTGCCTAATTGTCTTGGCTAGGACAGTTAGTATAATATTGAATAACAGTGGTATAAGCAGGCATTCTTTTCTTGTTCCTGATCTTAGGGGTTGGTGGGGCTGGGTGGCTCATGCCAATATAATTCTATATTAGATTATATTAGATTTATAACCAATATAATTCTATATTAGATTATAGAATCTAATCCTAGCACTCAGGAAGGCCAAGGCAGGTGGATTGCTTGAGCTCAGGTGTTTGAGATCGAGACCTGATCTTAGGGGGAAAGCTTTCAGTCTTTCACTATTACACACGGTTGTTACACTTGTATAGAGATGCCCTTTATCAAGTTGAGAAAGCTTTCTCAAAGGCAATAGTTCTAATGCACCATTTGACAAAGTTGTGCGTGTTTTTTCTCCCTGAAATATTGAGTCAGGAGCAGGAAGCTCTGACAGTTGAATAGATTCAGAATTGTTGTTTTGACAGAGGGATACAACAGAAGCATGTGGGACAAGGGTATTGGTGTTATGGGCAGGAGAATGGCTAAGGAAGTCTGTGACTGGATGAAGAAAGAAGTGAAAAGGAAAGGAATAAGATTGAGGGGAATTATAGTATTAATATAACCCAGGGATCAGAGCTTGCTAATGTAAACAACAGGCTTAAAGGAAGAAAGGGAGAAATGAGAGATCCAGAATGGTAGAGGTTGAGTTAAGGAAATGGAATATTGAGGTTTAAAATTTGTGTATAATGCATGGAGCTGGAGGTAGGAGCAGTGATTGCAAATGGCCCAAGTGATCTTTTTCGGGGATGATGGAAATGCTTTAAAACTGGATTTCAGTGATGTTTGCACATCTCTGTAATTTACTTAAAATCATGTTGTAAATTTACTTTCAATTGTGCTTTTAAAAAATTCAGCCACTGAAATGTAAAAATGGGTTAAAAAAATACATTGGTATATGGACCATTCTAAGAGATGACAATGCTGGGAGTTAGGCCATAAGAATGTGTGGCTGCAGTGGAGCAGAGGGAAGAGAAGATCAGAGTCTGGTGGATTATCCACACTAAAATCTCCATAATGGTGGTAAGGACTTAAAATATAGAGGAGAGCTTCTCTTCTGTTGCCAAATCTTTAAAAAATGTAGGAGCAAGATCATTTGGTTTGTATAAGGCATTGATAAAAAGATTACAAGGCATTGATAAAGAGTTAAATAGTGATTTAAGTGGATGCCACAAGCTTTATGGTCAGGAACTTTCCCCACGTGATCAGGGGATCTCTTTGCTTAAACTTTAATTGATGGATTAATAAAATTTCCTATAAGTTCTATGTCATTGACACTGTTCTAATGGTAACTGAGAGCTAAATAAGACGTGTAATCTCTTCCACAGACAGTCGACTACTTACACGGGGAAGCCAAAGATAAACATTTGAAAAATTTAATAACAACCACTAGCACCTATTAGAGTGGCTAAAATTAAAAGGGGGGAGAGGGAAGAAAATAAGAAACTAGCAATACCAAGTGCTAGAGAGGATGTGGAGCACCCAGAATTCTCACACACTGCTGGTGGGAATGTGAAATGATTCAGTCTCTGTGGAAAATAGTTTGACAGTTTCTCATTAAGTTAAACATACACTTATCATATGACCCAGCAGTCTCATTTGTATTTACCCAAGAGAAATGAAGATGTGTGTTTCCACAGAAACTTGTATACAAATGTTTATGACAGGGCTATGGTCTGAATGTTTGTGTCCCCCCCCACCAAATTCGTAT